ACTCGCGCGCGTCTGCCAAGAGGTGCTCGCGGCAGACACCGGACGTTCCCTACGTAGTCGCCAGCTCGCCTCGGCCGCCGGGGTCGCCAGCCATCTGGCGGAATTGCCGCCGCAAGCCCCGCGCAGGCTACATCCGATCTGGACCGAGCTGAAGACCGCCGAGGCGTGCGCAGCGTGGCAGAATTCCCCCCGCGAGGACCCGCCAGTGCGCCGGTCCGACATCGCGCGGCAGGCTCTGGCGCGGCCCTGGTTGACGCGCACTTTCGCCACACCTCCGTGCAGATATGTCTTCTGCGAGGGGGGCGCGCTGTCGCCATGGGGGCACGCATCCCACGAGTTTGCAATCTGGCGCGCGCTCGCAGCAGACGGCAAGGCGAAGGTGATCGGAACAGACACTTCGCGCGACCACGGGTGGAACTACCACCTCTGCAACTCGGGGGCGGCAGTGTCCGGCACGCGGCCTGGCGATTTTGCAACGCAGGAGCAATTCTCAGCGGCCGACGCCATCAACTACAAAGCATTGCGGGTGGCACCCGCATGTTTGCGTCGGGAAGGGGCCCGTCTCGGTGCTGGGGAATTGTTTTCAGGATGGACAACAGTTGTGCCGTTCATTACGTGAACATTAGATAACGCCGCCATCCACATTTAGAACATTTAACTCAATGTTTCGAAGACGCCGAGCGCGCGTCGGGGTGCTGGGCACTCGCTCCACACCTCCCGGGCCGCTCCAACGCCTGTGGCTGACATGGGCTCTCGGGACTCCGGTTTCGCAGCCGCCCGGGCCGAAGATCCTTTCAAATATGCTGTCCTGCGGAAGGACCTGTACATGGAAGTGCAGAATAGATGCAACGTCACTTGCACGCTGGACCTCTCTGCCGGCAGGCGCGGGCCGTCCGCTCTAGCCGCAGAACGGCGATGCCCAGAGCTGACGGCTTTCGAACGCAGCCTGGAGGGTCACGTCGTCTGGGCCCACCCACCACGGGCTCCAGCCCAGGCGTGCTTGGACTTTTTTAAGTCTGCCCGGAAAGCTCGCCCGCCCCGTAGGATTGTATTGCTTCTGCCAGAGGACGCAGGAGCTCCGTGGTCCCGCGCGGGCGCGCTGTCTTCCTGGCACCGGGTCTGCCTCTGGGACCCCCGTTCGGACATCCCCCGGCGGCTCTCCCCAGAGGGTCACGTACGGCGCGGGCCCCGCACGGAGCTATTCGATTTTGGCCAGCTGGAAACCAGCCAGGAGAAACCGATGATTGCACTGACTTCGCAGTCGCTGAGCGCAGGTTCAACAAAAATCCCACGCACACACACACACACACACACACACACAGACACACAAACACACAAACACACAGACACACCAAACACACAAACACACACACACACACGCGCACGCACGCACGCACGCACGCACGCACGCACGCACGCACGCACGCACGCACGCACGCACACACACACACACACACACAGACACAGACACAGACACACACACACACACACACACACACACACACACACACGCGCGCGCGCCCACCTCCCCCCCCCCAGCACGCTGGCACGCCACTCCCCTGCCTTCCCTCTCCTGCCCCCTCCCCGTCCTGCCACGCCCTCGCCTTGGCATCTGGCCCCAACTCGGCGGGGGCCTCTTCAGACGATGACAGTGGACGGGAAAGTAAGGGGCTGGAGAAGCACGGAGGAGGGAGGACAGGGGGAAGGGAGGACAGGCATTGCAGATGTGGGAGGATGCGCGCGCCCCACGCCATTCGGCCCGAGCCCCAAGACCAACCGCGCCGGCCAGCTCCCCCACGCACACCTCGGCCCCACACCTTTCCAAGGCATGGTTTCCGACGAACAGGTCAAGACACTGATGGCGGAAGCAATCGAGGCCGAGACGCAGCCGGGGGGCGCAATCTACAATTCCGTCGTGGAAAGGATTACAGAGCAGCTCAGCACCGCGACCCTCCCAGGCGGGACCGTGCACGCAGCCGTCGTAGAGGCGGCTAAACCCGGGGGCGCCGTCCACGCGGCGCTCACCAACGGGCGCAGCAGGGCGGCTGACGAGGAATACTCTTGGCGGGCCGCCGTGCGGAACCCGACGGTCGCGCAATGGAAAGCGACGTGGGAGGCGCTCACGGTCGACCCTGACAGCGTCGAGGCAGCCGGGGAGGCCATCGAGAAGTCTGGCCTGCGGGGGCTGAGCGCGGCACACACAGAGAGCAAGGAGCTCGAGGCTCTAAAGACCCGCGTCGCGATGAAGCACGCGGTTCGCACGAAATGGAAAGACTTGTGCCTCCCGGAACGGGGCGGGCCCAGCGAGATGTTCAGGTGCCACTTCGGAGAGCGAGCCGACGCCGGCAAGGACCAGAACGCCCGCGCCCCCAGCCGCTGCGCCTCGGTGCTCTAACACCTCGCGGAGAAGAGGCACGAATCTGCCCTTACCGGCACCCAGGCCAACGCTACCACAGCCGAAGCCCAGCGGACGACGGTCATGGAGTGGGTCTACCACGCAATCAAAGCCTTCCAAAAACGCACTCTCAAACCGAGCGCGGCCCCAGCCTTCGACCACGAGATCCCCCCGAAGGATTTCGGCCTCGACTTGGTGTTCGGGGAGGTTGCGCTCCTGAGCGCGGCTGCCGGCCAGAGCCGCGCGAACGACATGAAGCGACTCGGCGCCGACTCGGCACGGTCTGCTTCGACAGCGCGACGCGCGGGTGACCCGTCGGGCGCAACTGCGCCCGCGGGCCGCTACCAGAGCGGGGCGGCGGGATCCGACCGCCGCGCCAACTCCGGGGCGAGGGCTAACCGCTGGCCCAACGTTCCGGCGGCGGGCCCTCAGGCGGACCTGCTCCAGGCAGCTCCGGGGGCGCCGCCAGCCGCTGGTCGCAAGGAGTTGGCGCGACAGATGAAAGCCAGCCCCGCCGCTGCCGCGCCGGGAAAGTCCGCGCAGTTTTTCCGGAAGTAGGCCGGCCGCCCCCCAGGTCGGCCGGGAGGCGTGCAAGAACTGCCTCCGCAGCGGCAGAGGCGCTTTGGAGCGCGCTTTTAAAGAGTGCCGCGACACTTTCAAGAACAAGTGCGCCCCCCCGTGCCTGCGGCGCGCAGCCGCGGGCAGGCTGGCGGGGAACGCGCACCACTGGGCGCAGGATTACGAGTTTAGCTGAGCAGCAAGCCCGCTGCAGCAGGGGGCCGGGCAAGCAGAACGACACCACAGACCACATGTATTCATAACGCAGCTGTAAGTTATGGATGGGTTCCCCGGCCCCCGCGCCCCCCGCCATGGCCGTCTGCCATCGGGCGATTTTTTCCAGCAGATTGCCACGGCAACGAAGCGGCGCAGCCAGCAGCGAACCCGCAGCGACAGTCGGGCCGGGAAAACAGAACGCCAACACAGAAGCATCCACATCAACCCACGAAACACTGCGGGGTAGTTTCCCCGCCCCAAAACTCCCCCCAGCGCCGTCTGCAGTCTAAGATTCCTACAGCAGACCCGAAGGCGCGGGGCGCCCCCACCGCAACGCAGCAGGCACTCCCGCTTCAACGAGCAAGAACGTATCCGAACGTTTGCACAAACAGCTGCGTCCATCAAACCGGACACCGCCCAAGCCTCCAAGCCTCCCGGCTGCGCGCCGGCCCTGTCATCCGAGCAGGGCCAGTCGGCACCCGGGCCCATGCCTCAATGAGGACGCCTCGCTCACTCATTGTGAGCGCCACTTTCCTCACTGGGGGTTGGCGGGGCTGCAAAACGGCGCCCCGCCAGCAGGCCTGCAATTCCCCTGGCGCCCCCTTTGCGGCATGGTTTTGCCGACCCCCCACGGAAAAAGAGAGGCGTCATCCCTGCCATCACCATGCTCTCGCTACTCCCTGCTCCCGTCTATTTCTCCCTTCTTGCGTCGTCGTTGCCTCTCCCGCTTCTGCCTCGTCCTCGCCTTTCCCTCCCATCCTCGAGGCGGGACAAGGGAGGGGTGGCCGGGCAGGACAGGTAGGGCGCCCGTTGCCCGAACCCCGCCCTCCCCCGTCCGTGCACATAAACTCTCCAGAATGTAAAGAGAACAGCGTTCATCAGCTTTCCTTTCTGTCTCCCACAACCTTGCCTTAACCCGCTCCCGTTGGGGGCGACGACGGGGGCGAATAGCCACGAGAAGAGCAACTCATTTATCCAAGGGCGCCGATGGTCCATGACTTCGGCAAGGCTCCTGGCGAATACGTGTCATGCCCGCCCCTGGGCCGCAGGAAGAGCTGATGATAAGGATGCGCAATAAGGACGCAAATCTTTTGGACGCCCATGCCGAAGCTCTTCGAGCGTGGCTAGCAATCGAAAGAGGCTTGGGATGGACCGAGGAGGCAAGGATGCAAAGGTACCGTTGGGAAGGTTGACCATGCTTACTACCAGTTTCGACCGTATTCCCAAGCTTTCGGCTGCTCCAATTTTGTTCGATGCGTGGGCCCGGGAGGTCTGGACAACTTGCCCACGGCCGGCTTTTCGTCCTGAGTCGTGGTTTGGCGGTCCCGAGGCCCGGCGAGAGCCCCAGAAGGCCGAAAACGGGCAAAAGCCGCCCGCTCCAATTTTTGGGAAAGCGACGGCTCTCTAGCGTTTCGACTGTATTCGCCCCCATCGCTCGAGCAGGGGATCGACTACGGAATTCTTGTACCCCAGAACTGGATTTCTCGCCGAATCTGCGGCACGTGTCGTAGAACATTCGGAAGTGCGACGACTTTGCCGCAGACTCGACAAAAAAACACGTCTGGGGTAAATAAATGTTGTAGTCGATTCCCTGCTCGAATCGGGGGCGCGCAAACATGGATTAGCGATCCATGGATTTGGCGTGCGGTGGCCTAATCCATGGATCGGGGCAGGTGCCCTCCCCAAAATGCGACCCGTGCCGCCTCGTTCGGCGGCGGAAATCCGCGATTTCCCATGCAAACGGGACCCGTCGCGATTCCACGCCCCCTTGATCCATATTTGCGATCCCAGCGATCCCCTGCTCGAATCGTCGCCCCCGAATCCCGGCGAC